AATGAAGGGGCGTTCAAGAAAATGACGGGACCTGAAACGGAAATGAAGCGAAAGGAAGTGAAGGAAAATGCAAGGAAACTGTTGGACATGCAGGGAAGACATGCAAAGGAAGTGAAGTTTAAATCCCAGAAACTAACGGGAATTCACGGAAAAGGAAATGAAAGAACGGGAAGGGCAAGGTGCCCGGTGGCCGGTGGCCGGCTGTGTCGCGTCAGCGTGTAAATCCGGCTACGCCTCCTGGGGTAGATGTCGCCGCTAGGCAATTAGCCTGCTAGCTTCAGCAAGAGGGGCTGCACCCGTGCGCCGCCAACCCTCGTCACTTGGTTGTGATGCGTTGCCTAAATCCGGCACCTCTGCATCACCAGCTCGGGCTTGCGGTTTTGCTTGCCTGTGGGAAACCCTCGCAAAACATCGCGAATATGCAGGGTTTAGGCCATGTGGCTGGGGTTGGGCCTCTCAACCCGTGAAGCGCTATTTTCTGGAAGGTCACTGCCGGGCATGCCGGCGATGCTAGGTCCTCGCTCTACAAAACGCTGTAAATACCGTCAAAAACTGCTGTGCTGAGCGGTGGGCTGTTGTTCTGTCCGTTTTGCTTTTGCTCGCGCAGTCCTTGCTTTTTCCCGTTGGTTTTCGGGCCTTCTGGCGCCCGCGCGCGACCCCAGCCACAAAACGCTGTTATTTACAGTGTTTTGTTGCATTTGCGTTTCCAGGTTGGCTTGCGGGCTGCTCTTTTTGGGCTGCTCTTTCTGGGGCCTCTGGCGCGCGCGCGCGACCCCATGTCAGCCTTCTGGGTTGGGGCCCGGCTGGGGCCCGGCATCATCTGGGGCAACATGCACAACCTAACCAGCCATATCAAAGCTCAGGATACATTTCTCTTACAAAAAACTTGACATGACATGGTATAACTTCAAAGAGGCTTTCGATGTGTTCAGGTGTCAAGTTACATCCCTCCCCTCTAAAAGCCCGGATATAACCCGGACACACACACACACACCTGGGGGGGGAGGAGAAAAATGCGAATTAAATTTGCAGACGTCCCCCCTCATTTTCGGGCCCTACGGGGGTAGGGATTAAATTCTGCAGCGCGCGCAAAGTGTAAGGATCTGACCTCTCAACTCCACACCAGGAAGACCCCAACCAAATCCCGTCCCAAAGTTTCCCTTGAGCCTGTGCCAAACTTCGATCACTTGTGCCTCCCGCACAAATGGAACAAACACATGTCAGGTTTTCGTCCTTTCAGTTTCACACCAGGAAGCCCCTCAATTGAACCCTGTCCCTTTAGAAAACTTGCCCGCAACCTGCGCTAAACTTAGGGCGCCTATGCTGTACACACAAATGACGCAAAGAAAGACGCTTAAGATTTTGTCCTTTCAACTCCAACATGTGCAAAACTTTAATCACCTACGCTGCTCAAACAAGTGGGGCAAACAAATAAGCCAAAGATTTTTCGGAGCGCGCGCCCCTGTTCGAGATCGCGCAACCCAATCACATTTTCAAGTTGTCTCAAAAAAGGCGCCGTCGCGCACCCCCCCCCCTTCCGGAGCGCGCACACTGCCCCCCTATCCGAAACCTTGCATTTGCAACATGTCTCATAAAAGCAACGCCGCCCCCCTTCCCCACCGGGCACGCGACGGCGATGGTTGATTTGGTTTCCACGCGTGCCAAAAAAACTGCACCCAGCCTTCCAAACATGCCCCCAAGACACCCTAGACATCCCCACACACCCAAACACATCCCGCAAAGCGTCCCCCCAAGACCCCTTCCAAACACATCCGCAAAGTTATCCCCCAAGACACCCACAAGCGCCAAAGTACTGCGCCTTCCTGCCAAAAACTGCGCGAAAAGCTCAAACGCGCCGCGCCTTGCCACGAGATTCGAGCCAAATGATCTAAAGTGCTGCGCCTGTCACGCAAAGTAAACTTGCCACGAACTCAAATCCTTGGAGGACCGAACTTTGACACGTTTACTACACGCGCCCAGAACTAGCACAGGACCGGGGCACCAGAATGATTTCGAGATTTTGACGCGCCGCCAAGCCTGGCACGCACTTGCCAAGCAAGACACCTCAAAACGACCACCCCGAAAATGCACACCACAATGGCGTGGCAGTGCCAGCGCGGAACCTTCCAAGACACTGCAGCTGCGCAGCAAACTAACACGCAACGTCGCAAAAGACAATTCACGCACAGGCGCGACGAAGTCAACACTCCGAGACTCATTGAAAATTCGCAGTTTGCGGGAATTCAACGCACGGCGAGTGCGGACACATGGCGGACGTTTCCGGGCGCTGGAACGTAAACGCGCAGATCTTGGTCACATCCTAGCTCCCAGGCTCTCAGACTCTAAACAAACGCATTCGGGAAAAAGAGCCGGACCTGCGGTTCCCTTGCGTTTCCTCGAAGGCTCAAAACTTTTCGAGAAGGGCTGGGTGCAGGGCCGACAGCACCAGCTTCCGCCTCTCCACATAGAAGGCGGTTCTGGTCTGGAACTTCGTCTGCCAAATGGCTGGGTCGAAAAGCTCGGCTTGGGGTTGAGCAGGGTCGGGCTGGCGGGAGTTCAGTATCATGTCTTCAGCGTTTGTTTCGCCAGGGTTGGGGCAGCTTTCGCAGAGGTTACAAAAAACACGTGCCCCATACAGGGTGCCCTCCAAAACGGCCGCCCCTTACATCAAGCAACAGATCTACGCACATGGGAATTTCCGCGGTCCTCCGGGCATCGACCTTTGAACAAGCATTGACCTATACCATCCAAAAAGTGAAACATAATGAGCCCTGAGTGACAGCCCCCGTCGCTCGACCAGGCAAATGGACCCGACCCCCTTCCCTCCCGGAACAGGAGCAGCTGGAATGGCCTGAAGGTCCTTCAAGCGAGTCTGGAAATCTTCCGCCCTGAACCTCAAAGGGCTATCCAGGAAGTGTTGGAGTTGGTCTTCAACACGTTAAACTTTCAAACGCCGCGTGGCCAAAAAAGTCAATGTCCTTTGTTCAGACGCAAATCGCTGAAATCCTGTCGTCTACTGAGTTGCATTTTTGCCAGCTTGCTTTTAGCACCTTGTAGCCAATGCTCGAATTGTCTCGAACATAAGCTGGGACCTTGCTTGGCACGGCAAGGCGCACTGGACAAAAGGACACACGCAACATGAGTTGGCGCAAATCACTTCCAAAAAGGGGCCTTTATCCAGACAAAGTTCGGGCGTAGTCTTGCGGTCCGCTCTGGGCCCCTGGCTCCTCCAACAGCTCCAGCTGTAGTTGCGCAGCTGCCTCCCTGAATGCTTCAAATGGGCATGTCTAGATGTGCTCGGACTCCCTTCCGTTTCTCCCTCAGTTTTTTTTCGGTTTCCCGTCAGCCTCACCGAGGCTCCCTTCTATTCCCTTCAGGTTCCCTCCGTTTCCCTTGGAAGGCCGCAAAGGGTACGTTATAAGCAAACCATCGTGTCAAAGGCCTACCCCAAAACCCAAGGTAAAGAATCACAACGGCGGCGAACTGTTCGCATCCAGCATTTAGTGACGTTGGGATTGTTTGTTGTGGCTCAAAGGAAAAGCGGCCTTCAATTTTTGACAGCTTTCTGCCTCACTGCACTGCCTCGCAGCTGGTGGCAAACGGTGCCTTCCGCTGCCAAAAACATACCTGGCCTGCTTAGCTTCGACTTGTTGTCCGTGACCTGTTGCGCGGGTCAGAATAAGAACCAGGTTGCCCAAACCTCTGCCTGCTGCCTCCTGCCCTGGAACCCTCGCTGTCCTCTTGAAAACTGGGTGGCACGCGTCATGATTGAAACCAAACTGATCTATGGTCACTATCCTGATGGCTCTGGGCTCACTCTCCTGGGCCGGCCTTCTCTCTAAGGCCCTCCTATACTGCGAACCTTTTACAATTGGTTCGACGCGCGCCCTTCCAGGTCTGTGCCTTGGGAAGATCTGCCCCTCAGCCGGACGGGTCGAAACCCTCAGCCGGACGCAACATACCTGTAACAGGCCTGTAACCTATCTGTGAAATATCCAACCAAGACTTGGTTTAACTTGCAAGCGAACTTCTGGCAAGCTTCTGTCTTTTGCTTCCTTCGAGGAAAGCAAGGTGAACCCGTGCAAAAGTGTGAGCACCCTGAAGGGATAACAGGGACCCGGCAAACCCCTTTGCCTATGTTCGTGGGCAAGAAGTAAACCCTCCTGCTCCTCATACTCCGAGGCGAATGCCCAGGAACAGCAAGCGCCGCCTCTTGCCAAGCTTCTCCTGATCCTGCGATCCCAAAGAGCGGCTGTAGTCTTCCCAGCCCCTGGTATGTCAGCATTTTATAATTCGCGGTTCTTTGCAGCCATCTAGCAATGGCCACAACCCAAGCGGAAAACTCGAATCGCTCAGTTGCCATTGAAAAGGAAAAAGAAAACGGTGAATTGCCATAAGCAATGCGCAGGTTCAAAGCATTCTGGTTCTTGGCTCCTGAAAGGATGTGAACGCACCTCCTCGGCGAGACTCTACCTTAAGCTCAAGGTGCCGTCTGAAAAGCGAATGGTGGAATGGCGACAGATGAACCAAAAAGTGAAAAGGTCGGCGTTGGACGAGCAATTGTTGCCGGAATTTTGTAGGTCCGTTGTCAGCCCCACAAACCTCAAGCAACGACATGTTTGGACCGTGCGCAAAAACCCGGAAGGTAGCGCCGACAAGCTTGTCCGAAAGTTCCGTCCAAAGTGCTCCTGAACGCAGAGCCAGCCCATTCTTGCCTAAACTAGCCTGGTGCTGTGAGAGATGAGCTTGACCGGCATGTTGCGAGCGTATTGTTCATGTTCCACAAAGCAGAACAATTGCAAATCTCAAGGAGCCAATCAGCAACTGCGTTGACAAAGTCTCTGGGTTCAGGGCAAGGCGCCCTTTGCGCACACCATCGCCCACCTCGGTTGGCGTGGATGCTTGGCAGCTGCTGCCAAGCAACCCAGGTACTGGAATTTTGCCGCGATATTGCTTAGGAGTCCCCCTATTGGGTTCCGTGCACTGATATCGGGTGGCTCCAACTACATGAGACAGGACAGATCCCTAAGTCATGGTAGCAAATCTGTCTCAACCTTGCTGCAGGTTTTCACCTGGTCCAGGTTTCTAGATGAGCTGGCCTGAGAGCCACATCCCTTTGGGATGGCTTGCTCTGCCCGCATTTTGCCGTCCCTTGCGCTCAAGCTGTCGGTGACTGGAAGCCTGCGAGCGCACGCCGGCACTGGCTAATTCCAAGAGACCCTCGGCAACTGTGTCTCTAAAATCCGCCGACTTCTTCCCCTAAAAGGATGCGAACGGGAAGGGTGGAGACAAGATCGTCATCATGATGGTCATCAGCATCTCGTTTTTTTCGACTTCAATTGTAGCTCCGATTTGACATGCAAAAGATGCGTGGACATGCTAAGCAAAACACGCGTGGACACGCTTTCATGATGACTGAACTGCTGGTGATGCTCAGGATGCGTCATGACGCTGATCTTCCGGTTCGTCATCAATATCGTCATGACCATCCTCGTAGTCATCAGCGTCTCTTTCTACACCATACATTTCAAGTGTGTGGCGTTGAACACCATCAAAATCCCCATCATCAGCATCATCATCGTGGTCATCAGCATCTCTTTGTGTTCTATACGCTAGGCAGCGTTGGTGATGCAAAGGATGCGTAGTCATGATTATCATCATGACTGCTGGCGATGCTGAGGATGCGTCGTAGTCATCAGCATCTCTTTCTACACTACACAATTCAAGTGTAGCATTAGACACCATTGGTGATGAAGCGGATGCGTAATCGTGGTTCCTGGCGATGCCGAGGATGCGTCATGATGCTTCTCGTCCTATGTGAAATGCAAAATATGCGTGGACATGCTTAACATGATGACTGCTGGTGATGCTCAGGATGCGTCCTGACGCCGATCTTCCGATTTGTGGTCAATCTCGTCATCATCATCATCATCATCATCATCATAGTCATCAGCTTCTTTTTCTATCACCCTCGTCGTCAATATCATCATCATCATCGTAGTCATCACCATCTCTTGGTTTTATATAGATTTCAAATGTGGCGTTAGAGATCATTGGTGATGCAGAGGATGCGTAGTGTCATGATTGTCATGATGACTGCTAGCGATGCTGAGGATGCGTCATGATGATTATCATCCTAATTGAAATGCAAAAAAACGTGAACATGCTTGTCATGATGACTGCTGGTGATGCTCAGGATGCGTCATGAGGCTCTTTCTATTTCTACACTATACACTTCAAGTGTGGCGTTAGGCACCGTTGGTGATGCAGAGGATGCGTAGTCATGATCATCATGATGACTGCTGGCGATGCTGAGGATGCGCCATGATGAGTATCATCCGCTTAGAGACGCAAATGATGCATGGACATGATTGTCATGATGACTGCTGGTGATGCTCAGGATGCGTCATGATGATTATCAGCCGAATTGAAATGCTGCAGATGCGTGGACATGATTATCATGATGACTACGGAAACTGATTGTGTGTCTCCAGTGGAGTGTCTAGAGAATCATGGTGGTCATTTGAGGGCTGTGCTGTGAGGAAAGTGTTTTTTCTCGGTGGAAGTTCGTATCCAAAAAAAGCAAATGCCGATTGGGGGGCTATGTTGGCTCTCTGCAGGTGGGCCTGGAGGGCTTTGAGGACGGTCTTCTCACTAAGTTGGAAGCTCGTTGTGTCCACGGCCATATGGTGGATACAACGAAGCAAACGACCCAGTTTATGCCTTTTGGAGGCTACGTTGGCTCTCTGCAGGCGCGGAAACTCGTTGTGTGGGGCTACAGTGGGGTATCTAGGAAATCATGGTTGTCATTTGAGGGCCTCGAGGAAAATGTTTTTTTTCTCCATTGAGGAGGTGGAAGTTCGTTGTATCCACAACATGCGAAATCCGGGCGCCGGGCAGGCGAGCCCGTGCTTTTTTTGGAGGCCTTTGGTTCCCCTAAAACCGAAGGTTTATAAGGGCCGCGCCCCCTGCCGCCGACCCACCCCGTCCCCCGCTTCACTCCGTGTCAAAACCTCGCTGCCAGAGGGGAAAACGTGTTCGGGCGCATTTGTTTAAAAAAGGGCTTGGCATAGCTGCGATGTCCGCATCCATGGCGGACATTGATGCGGATAATGCCGGTGATGCGGGGGATCCATGGCGGACATTGACGCGGATAATGCCGGTGATGCGGGGGATGCTGGGGATGTTGTCCCCTAACTCGGGCCAATTTGGCCGAACACGTGAACACAGTGTGTTTGAAGGTTTTGGGCGGGCGCAAACGTGCAAGATATGGAAACCTGCTTAGTAGGCAGGCCTCAACGGTCCTGGCCGAACTCGATTGTTGGTTGGATTTTTGGTGAACCCAACAAAAAGCACTGTGTTTTCGGTAGTTCTGTATGGATTCTAGGCCGGGCGCACACGTGGAGAATGTGGAAACCTGCTTAGCAGGCAGGGCTCAACTCTCCCCGGCCGAGCCCGATTCCTGGCAAAAACCACGTGTTGTTGATGGCTTTGTAAAGATTCAAGGACGCTGTTGCGAAAATCATGAAACAAGGAAAATTCATGCGTTTAGTGGTGTTTCTGGAAGGTGCTTCGAACTTGCTGGCAGACCGTGCGTTTTCCCATGCTTTCTGGTGGGCGCGAACGCAGAAGATGTGGACACCTGCTTAACAGTCGGCCAAACAGGCCTTGACGAGGGGTCCGGGGATGAAAACTTCGCATCTCCCGGCGCCCGGCTGTCAGGCGTAAGCCCTTAAATGCGGCCGCAGCCTGCGAAGCGCGCCGAACGGCTGTGTCAGATTACCACCTTGGTGCTTCTGAGCAAGGCTCTAAAGCGAAGCTCTATGGGGCTGCCGCCGACCCTGCGCATGCCGAGGATACATGAAATATATATATATATATATATATGAATTTCAAAAATGACCTGCATCATCTGCTTCTGGCGGGTGCGTTTTTGACTCGGTTCTGGGTCTGCAGCCTTGGGCTTGCAAGTCTGCAGTCTTGCCCGGTGATGCGGGTGATGCTGGGGATGTTGCTGGGAGCTGCCTTCCACGCGGCGTCCTGCTGCAGCCTTGAAACACTGGAAAAACAGGCGCAAATGCAGGCGTTTACTGCAAAAAACGAGGAAACGTTTGGTTTTGACATGCGTTTTCCGTGGCAACTGGCCCCGGCGTGCGTGCGTGTGCGTGCAGGCGCGCGGGCCTGCGCGCGAGCGTGCGTATGCGCATGCGTGCGTGCAAGCGTGCGTGCATGCGTGCGTGCGTGCGAGGGAGGGAGGGAGGGAGGGGTGGGCGGGCGGGTGGGTGGGCGGTGTGTGTGTGTGTGTGTGTGTGTGTGTGTGTGTGTGTGTGTGTGTGTGTGTGTGTGTGTGTGTGTGTGTGTGTGTGTGTGTGGTGTGTGTGTGTGTGTGTGTGGTGTGTGTGTGTGTGTGTGTGTGTGTGTGTGTGTGTGTGTGTGTGTGTGTGTGTGTGTGTGTGTGTGTGTGTGTGTGTGTGTGTGTGTGTGCGAGCGCGTGCGTGCGCGCGTGTTTGTGTGTGTGGGTGCGTTTGTGCGTGTGCGTGTGTCCGTGTGTGCGTGCGTGCGTGTGTGCGTGTGTGCGTGTGTGCGTGTGTGCGTGTGTGCGTGTGTGCGTGTGTGCGTGTGTGCGTGCGCGCGTGCGCGCGTGCGCGCGTCCGCGCGGGCGCGCGGGCGTGGGCGTGGGCGTGGGCGTGGGCGTGTGCGTGTGCGTGTGCGTGTGCGTGTGCGTGTGCGTGTGCGTGTGGGTGGGTGTGGGGGTGTGTGGGTGTGTGGGTGTGTGGGTGTGTGTGTGTGTGCGCCTGTGTGGGTGGGTGTGCGTGCGTGAGCGCGCGTGCCTGCCCACGTGTGCGCTTGTGCGCGCGCGCCTGCGTGCGGGCGTGCGGGCGGGCGGTGAAGGGGACATGGCGAAATGACGGGAAATGGGCAGAAAAGAAATGTATGTAAAAATAGATCACAGGAAATAAACAGAACTGGACAGATATGATGGGAAAATGTGGAAGAGTGTAAGGAAATGTATGTTTGTTTATGTTGTTGTTGTCGCTGCTGCCTGCTTAGCCGTCCTTGCAAGAGCGTGAAGTTGAGCCTCGCGATGCTGCCGCGGCCGGTTGTGCGCCAGCAACGTAAATCCGGCTACGGCTTGTGGGGTAGCATGTCGCCGCTAGGCAATTAGCCTGCTAGCTAGAGCTATAGGGGCTGCACCCTGGCGCCGTCGACCCTCGTCATTGGTCGTGATGCGTTGCCTAAATGGCACCTCTGCATCACCAGCTCGGGCTTGCGGTTTTGCTTGCCTGTGGGAAACCGTCGCAAAACATCGCGTATATGCAGGGTTTAGGCCATGCGGCTGACATCATCAGCAGCGGGGCCGGGGGCGCGGGCCTTATAAACCATCGGTTTGAAGGGAACCGAAGGCCTCCGCGGGGAAAGCACCGGCTCGCCTGCCGCCGGGAGATGTGTTTTCCACGTGTTTTCATGATTTTCGCAACAACGCATCCTTAAATCCATACAAAGCCATCAAAAACACGTGGTTTTTTCTACTTGTTCACCGAAAACCCTGCCAGGGCCGGGGAGAGTTGAGCCCTGCCTGCTAAGCAGGTTTCCACATTTTCCGCGCGCACGCCCGGCCTAGAATCCATACAAAACTATCGAAAACACAGTGCTTTTTGTTGGGGTCACCGAAATCCTGCCAAAAATCGAGTTCGGCCAGGACCGTTGAGGCCTGCCTGCTAAGCAGGTTTCCATATCTCCACGTTTGCCCCGCCCAAAACCTTCAAACACACTGTGTTTTTCCACGTGTTCGGCCAAATTGGCCCGACTTAGAGGACAACATCCCCAGCATCCTCCGCATCACCGGCAGTATCCGCGCCAACGCCATGGATTTCCCGCATCACCGGCATTATCCGCATCAATGTCCGCAAATGCGCCCGAGCAACGCTTTCCCCCCTGGCAGCGAGGTAAACTGCTGTGCTGAGCGGTGGGCTCCTTGCTTTTGTCCCGTTGGTTTTCGGGCCTTCTTGCGCGCACGCACGCGCGAGACCCAGCCACAAAACGCTGCTATTCACGGTGCTTTGTTGCATTTGCGTTTCCGGGCTGGCTTGCGGGCTGCTCTTGTTGGGCTGCTCTTTCTGGGGCCTCTGGCGCGCGCCCCACGTCAGCCTTCTGGGTTGGGGCCCGGCTGGGGCCCAGAAAGCTGGCATCCCCGGCATCATCTGCGGTTGGAGCGGGCAACATGCATACATAACCTATGACATGACATGGTGTAACTTCAAAGAGGCGTAGCCGGCTAGAGGCCGCAGGCCCAGAACAGAAAAATAAAACAAAAATCAGCTCAAGGTGACAGTTCCATTTGGTTCTACGGAAAGCAAACACCTCCAGAGCTGAGGGTCTTGGCTGATTTGGCTCCTGCCTTCAACCAAGATTCATTGGGGGTGTCCTGAAATTGAGGGGGCCCCTTTACAGAAATGATTCTCAAACTCAAACGAAACCAAACAACTGTGTGGGGATTTGGGCAGCACCTAAGACGCCTGGGTTGGCTTTACCAACATGATTGTTCGTGCTTCGAAGGGTCCTATTAGTACAAGCCTTGCATCTGACCACAACGCCCAAGACCAGTAGAACAATTGGGCAGCGCTCGTTTTCAGGACACGCCCTCCTGGAAACACGGGTTCGTTGGACCCGGAGCGAGTCACTCTGCATAGGCTCCAGTATGCGCTCCAACAGCGCCTGATGGCAAGGTTTGGAGGGTTTGTGGGCTGGGTTCTTCTCAGTTTGTGCCATGCTAAGGCTTACGAGCATGTGTTTCACTTCGCAAGCAAAGCCTTCGGTTCGGCCAAGTCGCTTGATAAAGGACGCTGGCCGACGCTAGGCCAGTTCAAATGTGTTGCTCCTCTTCAAAGGCGCAGCCTTCGTAGGCTTTGTCTTTGACAGCTGCCTGCCAGAGCGCAGCCCTCAACACGGGGCTAAACATGCGGAAAGCCAAGAGAAAAGCACACTTTGAGGGTCCGGAGCCAATCGTTTTAAGCACCGTTTTTCATTGAGCCAGTTCGTATGGCGAAACCAAGGGAACAACAGCGCCAACCTGAGGCCATTTGATTGGGAGAGCTTGGAAGCAACCATGAAACCCAACAGCTCGCCAGTACATGTCAAAGCCTCTTCTGGCCGAAACTTGTTTGGGAAACGTTTGGCATCCGCCTACACCTGTACAAAGACCAAATACTTTTCAAGAAAGTGCCACATGGAGGCAGCTCGTACTGTCTGTCGTACTGCGCCTTGGCTTCACCAGCAGTTTCTCATTGGTGTCTTCAAGCCTGAATGTCCCAAACTCGATCAGGGGGCTTAGAAGTAGCCAGGGGCTTATGATGAAGAGTCAAAAAAGGGCAATTGACAAAACAGAAAAAATGAAGAATATGAAACAGTGTTGGAAAATTCACCAGCATAGAACGCAAAAAGCGAAACACGCGCCCACGATTGCACGCTAGCACCTCAAACAGCACTGTTCGAAGAGCACCTCAACCCAAACCCCCCGAACAGCACCTGCACAATAATCCCCAAATTGCACTCCCCCTGGCACCCTGCCGTCAACCTCGCAACAACACACCTGCCCGTCACCAGGCCCCCCAAAGCAGCACCTGCAACAGCACCCCAAACTGCATGCCCCCCAGTTTTCCAGGACCCCGGCGCAATCGCGCAACAACCTGCCCGCGCCCATCACCAGCACATCCGCACCAGCACCGTCGCCCGCTGGACCCCTAGCGCCCAGCCGTCAATCTTGCAAAATGCACTCGCACCGTCACCAGCTCCTCGAACAGCGCCCCGCCCGGCACCTCAAAACAGCACTTGCACCAGCACCCAAACTGCAAGCGCTAGCACTCTGCCGTCAATCTAAAAAACATGCGCCCGCACGATCACCACGCCCCTCCTTCTCTGTTTCAGTTTGAGCCGCTATGGATTTCAGCTATCCGGGAATATACAGTATTGCGCCTAGCACCCTTCCGTCAACCTGCACAAACGCCAGCACCCACAAACAGCACCTGCACCAGCACCTGCATGCCCCCAGCGCCCGGCCGTCCATGTTGAAAAAATGTGCCGCCCGCCCCAAACCCCTGCACCCTGCCGTCACCAGCACCTCACACAGCAAAAAACCCCAAAACAGCACCTGCAACAACACCCCAATCTGCGTGCCCCCTAGCACCGTCAATCTTGCAAAACCGCGCCCGCACTGTCACCTGCGTGCCCCCTAGCACCTTGCAGTCTATCTCGTCAAAATGCGCCCGCGCCTTCGCCAACACCTCAAGCAACACCTTCAACAGCATCCCAATTAGCACCTTCACCAGCACCCAAACTGCATGAACTAGCACTCAAGTTATGAAACACCAAAAAGGAAAATATGAAAGATGTGAAAATTTGAAAAAGTCAAAAAACCGTTAGTGCGACGCTGTGTCATTTCAAAACACTGCGAAGCCTGCCTTTAGCATGTTGATGCACATAATTTTTACGTTCAGTCATTCAAGCTGAAATTGGCTCACGCATACATACATACATACATACACACATACATACATACATACATACATACATACATACATACATACATACACACATACACACACAGTACATACACACAGTACACACACGCAGTACATACATTACAAGCATGCGTTCTCGGAAGCAAACGGCAAGCTTGAGTCAGAGCTTGCACGGACGCGCAAATCTACAGCTAATGTGTGGCAACTCTACAACTACTATGTGCGTCAAGCCCGGCCTAGCGGTGTTTGTCGGGTACTGAACCAACCCAGGCTCTACCTGGGCATGTGAGGATTCGTGGTAGCTTCATAAATCGCTTATACCTTCGGTGATTTGCGCGCCTGCTACCTTCCTTTGAGGCGGTCGACGTTCTTTTTTTGGCTCCCTACCAAGACTCAAGCCCTACTTCTCCGTTACCTGCCATTGCCATGGTAGGCCAGCGCCTTACCGTCGGAAACTGATAGGTCACAAACTTGTAGGTAACAACACATAGAAAATCCATGTTTTTTCCCGAAAGCATCGCGAAGGGTTGTTCCGTGCGGAGCCCTTGGACAAGTTACACAGAGCCAAGTTGCACAGAGCCAAGTTGCACAGAGCCAAGTTGCATAGAGCCAAGTTACATAGAGCCAAGTTACATAGAGCCAAGTTACATAGAGCCAAGTTGCACAGAGCCAAGTTGCATAGAGCCAAGTTACATAGAGCCAAGTTACATAGAGCCAAGTTACATAGAGCCAAGTTACATAGAGCCAAGTTACATAGAGCCAAGTTACATAGAGCCAAGTTACATAGAGCCAAGTTACATAGAGCCAAGTTACATAGAGCCAAGTTACATAGAGCCAAGTTACATAGAGCCAAGTTACATAGAGCCAAGTTACATAGAGCCAAGTTACATAGAGCCAAGTGACAAGTTACATAGAGCCAAGGTAGAGCCAAGGTTAGGTAGAGCTTGCGTAGAGCTTCGGCGTAAGCAGCTATGTAAGTTAGTTTAGGTTTCTAAGGCGCCGGGGCGGGAGTTTGATCGTCGCTCGGGATTGCGACCCTCTGCGGGGATTCGCGCGGTCGAGGTTCAAAAACTGAGGACTTTTTACGATTTCTGCTGGCCGCGTGCGACCGTCGAGGTTCAAAAACTGAGGACTTTTTACGATTTCTGCGGTGCGCGCGCGACCCTCTGCGGGGATTCGCGTGGTCGAGGTTCAAAAACTGAAGACTTTTTACGATTTCTGATCTGCGCGCGCGATTTTTACAATTTCTGCTGGCCGCGCGCGCGTGGTCGAGGTTCAAAAACTGAGGACTTTTTACGACTTCTGCGGTCCGCGCGCGACCCTCTGCGGAGATCGTGCGCGTCGAAGCGCTCTCGCTGTGATTGTGCGTGTCGAAGCGCTCTCGCTGTGGCGCCGTGCATTTTTCTTGCTCGCGAAACGGCCTTTGGAAGTTGTCTCGTGGTTTGCGCGCCTGCTTTCGCAATCCCGCGGTCGCGGGTTCGATTCCCCCCTGGTCCGCGGCAGCTCCGGCTTGAAAATCGCAGCTTTTAAGTACAAACGTAGTACGCGGAGCGTGCTCCTGCAGCTCCGGCTGGAAAATCGCAACTTTTAAGTACAGACGTAGTATGCGGAGCGTGCTCCCGCAGCTCAGGCTGGAAAATCGCAACTTTTAAGTACAAACGTAGTACGCGGAGCACACCCCCGCAGCTCCGGCTTGAAAATCGCAACTTTTAAGTACAAACGTAGTATGCGGAGCGTGCTCCTGCAGCTCCGGGTGGAAAATCGCAACTTTTAAGTACAAACGTAGTACGCGGAGCACACCCCCGCAGCTCCGGCTGGAAAATCGCAACTTTTAAGTACAAAAATAGTACGCGAAGTACATTCCCACAGCTCCGGCAGCACTTGCGCAGAGCAACTTGCGCAGAGTCCCTTGCGCAGAGCAACTTGCGCAGAGCAACTTGCTCAGAGCACTTGCGCAGAGCAACTTGCACAAAGCACATGCGCAAAGCGCTTGCACGGAGCAACTGGCGCAGAGCAACTTGCACAGACCAACTTGCACAGAGCACATGTGCAAAGCGCTTGCGCGGAGCAACTGGCGCAGAGAACTTGCGCAGAGCAACTTGCTCAGAGCACATAGCAACTTGCACAGACCAACTTGCACAGAGCACATGCGCAAAGCGCTTGCACGGAGCAACTGGCGCAGAGCAACTTGCGCAGAGCAACTTGCTCAGAGCACTTGCGCAGAGCAACTTGCACAGAGCACATGCGCAAAGCGCTTGCGCAGAGCAGCTTGCACAGAGCACTTGCGTGCAGCAGCGTGCAGCAGCTTGCAGAGAGCAACTTGCGCGCAGCAGCCTGGAACAATGCGGCTTGCGCAGACCACTTTCGTGAGAAATCGCGCGGCGCAGTTCGAGATGAAAGTAGGATGATGAGATGGAGCTCTCATGTGACCATACACACTGAGCATCGCCGCGCGCAGACACGCTCGCCGCAGCGATGTAAGGATGAGCGCCTGTGGAAAAATGCTTTCTGGCCAATCGTCCTCTAGTGTCAATGGAATTTGCTTGTTTTTCCCCAAACAGTGTACTGTGAGGGGTTCTAAATTCATTTAAAGTGCCTGGCACGGCTCTCTGGGAGGACGGGTTCATTTGTCTCCCTTTGTCGCCCTTCATGTGTCTCGCGTTGTCTCCGAGCCTGGGTGCCTGGCACGGTTTTTGGGTGGACGTGTTTATTTTTCTCCCTTTGTCTCCCGTCATTTGTTTGTTTTTTCCCGGCCTGGATGCCTGGCACAGCTCTCTGAGCGTTCCCACATTTGTCTCCCTTCATTTGCCTGCTGCTGGTGGTTGCCTGGCATGGCTTTTTGGGTGTCCATTTGTCTCCCTTTGTCTCTTGTTGTCTCCGAGCCTGGATGCCTGGCACGGCTCTGTCAGTGGACGGATTCATTTGTCTCCCTTTGTCTCCCGTTATTTGGCCCCGGTTGACAGCCTGGATGCCTGGCACGGCTCTGTGGGTCTCGTTCTTGTTGTCTCCCAGCCTGGATGCCTGGATTCATGTGTCTCCCTTTGTCCCTTTATTTGCCCCCGACTGTCACGGATTCATGCGCGGTGTATTCCGCGGGCAAGCATGCGTGCTTGAGGCTCAGAAACGCATGTCTGAGCGCGCGCATACGCTTGATCAAACAACAGGCGGCATGCTGCGGACGCACGCAAGAGTGCTTCAAGTTAATGATTGTGTGTTCTTGGTGTGTTCCAGCTGACCCCCTCGGCGCGCTCCAAGTGAACACGTTTTTTGGTGATCTTGGTTTCCATGAGTTGGCGCGTGGGTTGCTGCGATGGGCTTTGTGTGGCTTTCAAGGGTGTAATGTTGCAGTTCTTACTTAGTACTTGAAGCCAGCCCGCACGTTTAACGCGACCTTAATTTGTCAAATCCACACGGATGGTCGCCGTAACTCTCAAAAATACGGCGAAGCCGCGCTAGCCGCGCGCTAGCAAGGCGCTAGCACAGTGGTCAGCTGTGACCGGTTCCCAGTTACGCCTCAATGCAAATTTGCTTCCGCTCTCCTTGCACGCAATTACCACGGAATGCGATTTGCTGGACAAACGGGAGACAAAACCGGCAGGCAAGAAGGCGGATGCCTTGTACGGAGCATACGGAAGAACTGGGTTGTGTGTTCACCTGCGAAAGCAAGTGATTTACTGAATCGATACGAAGAGTAGCAACAGATTGCTCGATACGAAAGACACTGTGCAGCCAAGCGTGAAAGAAGCGCAATGCGCCGGAAAGCTTTTGCAGCAGTAGCAGCAGCAGCAGGCTCGCGCGCTAGCAACTTGTTGCAGATTGACCGCACACGAACACTACTTTCCTACTTGGAACACGCATGTAAAACACAAGTGTTGTTAGAGGGCCTTATGGAATGGCGCCTCACAGCCGGCTTCGGGAACTTGATTTATGTGTCGCACAGGCGTGCAGAAGATAAACTCTATGAGTTCACATACATTGTTGTTGTCCACATGAACGCATGTGTGCTGCACAAGTGTGTGCACATGTTCCTCCACATGCGCACATACGTGTGTTCCATGTGTACACATAGGTGTGTTACAAGTCAGCACAGAAGTTTGTTCTGGTTAAACAACAGTGTTGCGCGTGAACACAAATGCCTGTTCCAAGTCAGCGCATGTGTGTTGCAGGTGAACAGAAAAGTGCTTTTCAGACATACACGCATATGTGTTCCAGGTGTACAAATGCGTGTGTGTGTGTGTTCCAGGAACACATGTCTGTTATCACACATGTTTGTTATCAGACGAACACGCGTGTGTGCGTGTGCGTTCCGGGTGTGCATATATGCGTGTGTTTGTTTGCGTGTGCACATATGTGTGTCCCACGTGTACACATATGTGTGTTCACGTGTGCACAAATACGTGTTCCACGTGTACACATTTGTGTGTTCACGTGTGCACACATGTGCGCTCCAACTGGACACATGTATGTGTTCCAGGAAAACAGATGTTTGCTATCAGATGAAGACATGTGTGTGCTCCGAATGCACATGTATGTGTGTTCACGTGTACGCATATGTGTCTTCCACGTGTACACATTTGTGTTTTCACGTGCGCACACGTGTGCGCTCCAAACACATGTTTGTTATCAGACGAAGACACGTGTGTGCTCCGCATGCACATGTATGTGTGTTCACGTGTACGCATATGTGTGTTCCACGTGTACACGTTTGTGTGTTCACGTGTGCACACATGTGCGTTCCAACTGGACACGTGTTTGTCTTCCAAAAGCACGTGTTTGCTATCAGACGAACACGTCGAAGTGTGTGTGTGTGTGTGCGTGTTCCGGGTGCATATATGTGTGTGTTGGCGTGACGTGTACGCATATGCGTGTTCCACGTGTACACATTTGTGTGTTTACGTGAGCACACATGTACGTTCCAACTGGACACGTGTATGTGTTCCAGGAGAACATATGATGTTATCAGATGAACGCGTGTGTGTGTGGGCCTGCTCCGCGTGCACATGTATGTGTGTTCCTTTGTACACATATGTGTGTTCCACGTGTACACATGTGCGTTCACGTGTATACACATGCGTGTGCGAAATGGACACGTGTTTGTGTTTCAGGTGAGTACATGTTTGTTATCAGATGAACGCACGTGAGTGTGTGTGTTCCGGGTGCACATATACATTTGTGTGTTCACGTGTACACATGTGTGTGTCCCACGTGTACACAGACGTGTCTTCACGTGTACACACTTCTGTGTTCCAACTAGACACGTGTTTGGGTTCCATCAGAACACGTGATTGTTATCAGCTGAATGCTCGTGTGTGTGCCTGTGTTTCTGCATGCACATAAATGTGTGTGTTCACGTGTGCAGTACACATATGCGGGTTCCCTTGCGCACATGTGTCTGTTCACGTGTGCACATGTGTGTCTCTCACATGTGCACATTTATGTGTGTTCACGTGTGCACACATGTGTGTTCGTATCAGACACGTATATGTGCCCCAGGTGAACACATGTTTGTTTTCAGATGAACGCTCGTGTGTGTGTTCCACGTGTACACATGTGTGTGTTCACGTGTGCGCACATGTGTGTTCCATTTGGACACGTGTTTGCGTTCCACGAGAACACACGGGTGTGCGTTATGGGTGCGCATTTATGTGAGTGTTCACGTGTGCACATATGTGTGTTCACGTGTACACATATGTGTGTTCCAGGTGTACGCACATGTGTGTTCCACTTGGACACGTGTTTGTGTTCCAGGTGGACAGAGCATCAACGCCGCAAAGTTCACGCTAAGTTGGAAACAGGCTCAAGCAAATGCACCGCAATTTTTGCATCCGGTAGAAGCATCAATGCCGCAAAGTTCACGCTAAGTTGGAAACAGGTTCAAGCAAACGTACGCAATGTTTGAATCCGGTAGAAGCATCAAGGCCGCAACGTTCACGGTAAGGTTAACACAGGGTCACGACAGGTCAAGCAAAATTTTCGCGAGCCCAAAACCCCTAAATCTGGACCCCCTAATTCCCCACCCCCACTTCGAGTTATGGCAAAAAGCTCCTGGACAAACTCGGGCCCTCATTTTGCGCGAGCCTGCGCAATCACAACGCACTTCAATATACATCATACAACACCACGAAAGTGCAGTAAATACAGTAAAAACCACGCAAAATGCTCGGGGGCCTCATGTTGGGCAAGCCTGCGCAGTCGAAACGCACTTCGACATCATACAACATTAACACTAACATTGCGTGGGAAAAACGAAAAATGCTCCCGGACAAAATCGCGGGCCTCATTTTGCGCGAGCCTGTGCAGCCGAAACGCACTCCGACATCATACAACATCACGATTGTGCGGCAAATGCCACGCAAAATGCCCACGGACAAACTCGGGGAGCCTCATTTTGCGCAAGCCTGCGCAGTCGAAACGCACGTCGACATCATACAACATCACGATTGCGCGGTAAAGGCCACGCAACATGCTCGCGGCCAGGCCGGGCACCTCGATCTAGCACCACGCCTTTCCTCTTACCGTAAGAACCCCTCCGTGGACACACTGTTTGGGGAACAAGCCGGCTGGAATGCGCCGAAAATACTCATTAAAAACTACCACATGCCTCACTACATGGCGCCTCACTCACTAAATTTGCCCGTTCTGGAGGAAGCTGCAAGAATCCTGCTGTCAACTCCCTCTCAATCTCAAACTGAAGCAAGTTGCGCGCTCTTGTGTTTTCAAGACAAGGACGCCCCTTCTCACTCGCAGAATCATAGGTGAGCTCGTTATGACTTGTGCTTGGCGCGCAAATTAGGGACGTGGCACTTTTCGGAAAGAAAACCACTGGCTCTGCGGGCTCAGTACCCCGCTCCCGCACGTGCTCACTAGGTGTGACTTGCTTGCCAAGCGGCTGCAGCAGGAAAGTACCGCTGCGAGCGCCATTGCCCACGATGGTCCCATGCAAGCTCTTTATGTCGGCGTGAGCGTCCAGCTGCAGCGCCTCCCAAGACCCAGATCTCATCAAAATATGCCCCATAATCTTTTAGCTCGAGGGGAAGAATCCCACACAACAAGGGAACAAACCTGCTTGATCACAATTGTCTGCTGCCCGCGCGGCGCAATCAGACGTCGAATGGCTGAAAGCAGGTAGGTGAGCTTTGCTCGAACCCCTGCTGAGTAATATATAACGAGTTTTCACAATGTTGAGGAGCAAAACCGAAAGACATGGTGCGCGTTTCAGCAACAGTAGGAAAAAAACGGACCGCCCCCCCGCCCATGTTTTGCGGCATCTTGAAAGAGCGGCCTGGCCCGTAATCGCTACCGGGCCTTGTTGGACATGCAGAGTCGGAGCTTCACCCGCTCTCCCACCGTGTAGCCATGCAGCCTTCAAACGATTTCCGGCTTCACGCGGAGGGGAAGCGTTAACGTTTGAAAGAGGGGGGTACGGGGGCTGGCTTGTTCTGCGTTTACCAGGCCGCTGACCTTTAAGCAATCATTTGTGCGTGTCACACACAAATATTGGCTCAAGACTGCTTTCTTACCGTTATAGCATGAAAAAGAAGCTCCCTGCACCCGCTTCCGGTGTGCTACACTTACAATGCATATACCAGAACTTCCAGCACAATTAAACCCGTCAAGCATCAAGCGCTGGCCGGAGACGCCAAAACCGTTCAATCGACAAGCTCAACCAGTAGCCGATCCATTTGTCCAGAAGCAACAGAAAACGATGACGCAGGATCCACCGTGCGCAGAGATTGATCTTCTCCGACAGACGTGCAGAGGTGCGCAACAGCTTTGCGTGAAACCCACCTTTCTTCAAAACTGCATTCTCGCTGTGGCGCTGTGTTGACGGCTGGATTCCATGGACAGCACAGCAGTCTGGCTGGAATGTCTTTCGCATGGATCTGCAGAGTTTTCCTCCAAGCAGAGACGTGTGAGCAGAAGCGAGACATCATTTGTCAGATTCCTCCTGACATGGGATGTCCATCATACATTGGCGCACGGGTGAAGAAGCCTGCCTGCAGGCTCCCAGGAGATAAGAAGAATTGGTGGATCAATGTTTATGAGGATGTTGCCCTTGATGAACTTCAGGAAGCCACCTTTGAAGGATGACACTCTGACACCGCAGACGCACACCGCCCACGGGAACGTGTGAGGTCACATTTGCAAGAGCCCATCGAACCCGAGAGACTCTTTGACCGACTATCTCATGAGGCGCTACGGTTCGTCTCTGTTTCTTGTCAGACAACAAGTGCCAGAGCCGATGCAAATAGGCTTGTAACAGCCTCAACAACCCATCAACCAGAACAAAAAGAAACCATGCCCTTGATTCAGAAAGCAGACGCACGACCTTGCGCATGTGCGAAGCGAAGTTTGCCTTGCTGACTCTTGGCGAAGAACGCTGAGTTGATCACGGCAGTTCTCACTGGCAACCCTTTAGATTTTGACGCGCGTTCTCCTTTCCGCACACTGTTGCAGAATCAGGTGTTTCTTGTTGGATCGCTTGCGCGCAACACAGCACACGGTCCTGACATCATTGCCTTTGCAGGTGGCAGACTATCAGAACACGTGTCCGCACACTGAGGCACATTGGCATGAGTGCATCATGGCGCCGGATTCATTGCGTGAAACTATTGTCCGTGAGTTCATGCTCCATCAGCGCTGGAGATTCGTTCCTCGTACTGCACGGAGCGGCTTCCACCTCCGTCAACCGCGCGCCTCTGTTCTCCAACTGGTCTACAGTTACACTCAACCCTCCTTCTCCCGTGAACATGGGCCACTTGGGATTCCAGTGTGCCACTCATCCCTTCCACCCCAAGATCCGCTGAAGGCTAGCAGCCTCATCAGATTGCAGGACTTGTGCTTTGGGTTCAAGGGAAAAACGTTTGTTCAGCATAGCCTTTACTTTCCGCGACTTCACTCAGGTGTCCCTCGTTCTTTCGCTGATACGTCTGCAACTCTTCATCAAGCGACTCATCCGCACTCTTTGAGTCCTTGGAAAACCTTTTAAAGAACTGGGCCTGCCCCCTTCTCAAGATTTCCGGACTTGGTCCCTCGCATCTCCTCCGCCGTGGCCTGCTCATTCCCAGCATCGCTTTGCTGGCTTGCTACTTGGGCTCCAACACTCACCACGATGGTATCTCCGCTTCTGTGACCGGCAGATCCGGCGTTCCTTTGTGATGATAAACCAATGGCAGGAGCCGCCGTTGATCCACCGAAGGCAACTGAGGATCCAGGTCCAGCAGACATTGTCATGTAAGTGTTCTAGCTTCGGCAACCTTTCTGAAATAAACAGGGTCAACGTATGGCCAAACCCTACGGCTGATAACTGAGAACTGAGGGGCAACGGCAAAATAACCCAGCAGCAGTAGTTGTGCTGTCCCGTAACACCGATGCAAGAGTACCGAATAGATCCACGCAGCAATTCTCCTTGCTCTCACGAGTCGTTCCACGACCCATTGTGCCTGGCCAAGGGCTAAACGTGAGCCAAATGTGGCCGGTATGTGTGTGTGTGCGTCTCCTGAAATTGGCATCTTGCTTGCAAATTGTTGACAGTTTCGATAGCAAACATCAGTCCTTGCTTTTTCGAGGACAACGAATCCTCACGTCTCATAAGATGCAAAACCATTTGTCACAGCCATATGTCACTTTTGCTTGCCATTTCCCGCGCGTGGAATTTTCCCTGTCGGCTCCTACGTTAGAATATGTTACTTCGTTGAGCACAAAAATCACGGTTAGAACAAATCAGTACAGTATGTGAACACATGTGGCAATTAGAATAATTCCAAGTTTGCGCAAATCCTTGAAATTTGAACAATTTTTCAGGTCGCCAGCAGATAGAACATGTCTTAACAGATTGAATGTTTCAGCAAGGGCCGCGTGGCTTTTTGAAAAGAACCCTGCTCTGATAACAACACACTTAAGCCCCTTTCATGGCATTTAGATGTTTCAATTGCATTTGGTAGTTTCAATTTTGAGTGGGGGGCGGGGCGGGGCGGGGCGGTAACGGGCACATGCTGCAGAAGCAAGCCCAAAGTTGCTGAACAAGCCAAAGACCGATCCCTCAAACATGCTGCAGAAGCGAAAGGGCAGCGCCAAGGGCAAGGCAGCGAAGCCCAGCGCCAAGGGCAGCGAACAAACCTTGCCGGGGAAGCCAGTGGAGGGCTACGCAAGCCTGGAAGCACAGAGCAGAGCTTTCTCGGGCCGGTTAGAAGCCAAAACAGCATGCCATATGCCAGCGCATGCCCGCATCGCGCGTGCTTGTTGGCTTCAGGATGGTCAAGGCGAAGCACACACACATACATACATACATACATAAATACATACATAACGCTGCGTTACGTTGCGTTGCGTTGCGTTACGTTGCGCTGCGTTGCGTTGCGTTACATACATTACATTACATTACGTTACATTACATTACATTACATAACTTTACATTACAATACATTACATTACATTACATACACACATACATGCATACATACATACATACATTACATTACATACATACATTACACACATTACATGCATACATACATACATTCATACATAAATACATACATACATACCTACATACATACATTACATACATTCATACATGCACACATGCATACATACATACATGCATACATACATGCGTGCAAACATGCATACAGTACACACATACATATGTACGTACGTACATACATTACATACATACATACGTACGTACATACATGCATACATACTTACGTTACATCACATTTTATGACATTGCATCACATCACGTTACAATGCGTTACATTACATGACATCACATCACATACATACATGCACACATACCTACATACATGCCAACATGCATACGTACATCCATACATGCACACAGACATGCGTGCGTGCAAGCAAACAAACATGCATGCATGCATTCACACGTACATACCTGCACACGTGCAAACAAACATACATGCGTGCATGCCTACATACATTAAACACATAGGTACATACTTGCATTGCATTGCATTGCGTTGCATTGCGTTGCGTTGCATTGCGTTGCATTGCGTTGCATGCATGCTTATACACATACACATACACTTACACATACGCATACTTACATACAAGCATACAAACACACAGATGTACAAACATACAAGCGTGCAAACATACGCACATACATACATGCATGCATACATACACACATACATACATACGTACATACATACATACTTTCATTACATCACATCACATTACCTCGCATTACATTACATGACGTTAAATTACACACATCACATCACATCACATCACAGCACATGACATTACATACATACATACATACATACATACATACATACATACATACATACATACATACACACATACGCACATGCATGCGTGCATGTGTGCACGCAAACAAACAAGCATACACGCAAGCAATTATATATGCATGCATTCATGCATGCACACATGCACACATACACACTTACATGTAAAGATGCATGCATGCAAGCACACATGCACACATACATACATTACACACATACACACTCGTAGACTGACTTGACTTACTTACTTACCTACTCCCTGGACGCAGCATGACTGGGAGGAAACAAACCTTTCTCTGGGTGAAACTGTAAGTGCGCCAGGGTGGACTCGAACCACCATCTTTGCTCTAGCCAGCTGGGGTTCAGAGATTTGCCAAGTGACACTTGACCACCCCACTATCGCCCTATGTTGCAGAAGCAAGCCCCAAGTGGCTGAACAAGCCAACGAGCACTGCTCCCTGAGCATGCTGCAGAAGCATAGTGGGGCTGAACAAGCCCGCTGTCACAGCGCGTGAGGCATTGAACAGTCTTGCGGGGAAGCAAGCAGGGGGCTGGACAAGGCTAGAAGCGCAGGATCGGGCTTCATTGTTGCCAACACGTGTGCTGCATGCTACATCTTTGTTGGCTTTGCGGTGGGCTAAGTTATGCTGCCTTAGGCCCTTGACACAAATTCCCAAAGAAACCATCAGGCGATTCACCAATTGGACCCTGACCGTGGGCTTTGGTGGTTGTTCGCAAATGGCCCTCACGAGTGTCATCTCAGTTCCCAAACATTATGCTAGCTCACCCTGTCACCTGGCACATAGCCGTGCTGCAAGCAAAGGGCCTGCGCTGCAGAAGCAAGCCCAGAGTAGCTGAACAAGCCGAAACAAGCGTGCCGCAGAAGCAGATAGGGCTGAACAAGCCCACTGGAAACAAAACAACCCCGGGCATCGGGAACGTCTTGTTTTACAGCTTGGGGCTCAAACATGTTGCAAGCAGTGAGAAGCAGGAAAAAAGCTGCGCACAAGCCCAACAAATCAGGCTAAGTTTGGCCAAGGTCAAGCAACGAACATCTTAAGCGTTCGGAGTCTTATGTTATCTT